AAGAGCGTTCAGCAAGGGTACACACTAATTATGGTCACGTGCTGGCTCATGATTTATGGAAGTCAACCCTAAAACCAGGAGATTACAGAATTTGTTAGGGTGAGGGATGCAGCTGGGATTAATTTGGTTTCAGATGGACGGCGTGCTGTGCTCTGCCTGAGGAGGAAGCTTTCACTAATCATTATTTTCTCCTGTCATACTTGAGATAAATTACACCTGAATATAGGAACGGACTAAACTACATGTGTTGGAAGGAAAGAAGGGAAGATGGATGTAGCAGAGATCCTTGAGTGTCATGTGAAGAAGAAATGCAGGTAGCTGTAGCTACATGTTCTTATCCAGAAAGGAAAATTTAAAGCTCAGTCTTAGGGGTTTTTTTTCTTAACTCAAGCTTTCTCTGCAGTCCTGTGATTTTCTGAGTCAAGTGAAACAAGGCCTGTGGTCCTTTGGGGTTTAGTAAGCTCTGTTTTAATAGTGGTCATGAAAGGCCATAATGTCAAGAAATCCTGACAGATTTTGCCCCACTGGGGTGAGGTTGATGGAATGTGGTCTCAGCTGCAGCATTTTCTTGGAGTCTTTAGAACTACAGTTTAAGCAGTCAGGGTGTCTTCTGCTCTTTCACAGAGAAGTCAGATGCTTCAGAAACTTTGGTTCATAAAAGGGTTTGAAATGTTTGTGTTCTTACAGAGAAATTTATATTTCTTTGGTGTCAGGGATTGTCAGGAGTCACCATGTTTCTTGCTGCAGGTGGAACACCCCATCCCCTCCAAGTAATTGTGCTTTTTCAACACCTAGGAGCCTGTATATGGAGCTGAGATTTGTCTCTCTGAGAAACTTCCTCAAGATTTTTCAGATACATAATTTTCTATGTAATTTTCTTCAAAATACAATGCTTATGTTTCACAGGATGTTTGCCCCATTCAGCATGCAGAATAACTGTCATTTTGGTCATTAAAAAGGTTGTGTAGGACTCCCAGCTCCTTTCTTCCTGAAGTCAGTGTATGTGTAATGAACGAGGTAAGAATGTAGAAGGAGAAGGAATTCTCTCCTGGCTGGTATAAAGCCAGCTTTGGTAAGGAAATTCCCTGTCCAAAAAATTAGTGTGAAAATCAGTTAAAACAGCTTTTCACAGATGCTTATTGATTGCCATTCCTATTTTCTGGGCACCTGACATGAGACTTAATGGAGGTGCCAAACACTCAGACCTGTAATTTAGATACAGACCAGAGCATCAAGAAGTCTGGGGTGAAAACAATTTAATTGTCTCCATGTTCACCTGGTAATGAATGTTTTATATTTTTATCTCTATTCCCCATCATTAAAATTTCCATGAATAAGTAACTTATGAAAACACTATGGAAATGATCAGTGGCTGTGAAACATTTTTACTTACTTTCCGTTGCTTGTGAGACAAAATTAGCTTTGTTTTTAATACAAGTCATGTTTGGGAATGAAGGCTGGTGCTGCAATATGGAGAGAGTAACTAGATGTAAAATAGGTGATTATTCATTAATGCCATTTAGCCTGCCTAGTGTGGTGTAGGGTTGCAAGGGAGAGCAAAAAGATGTATTCTGTAAAATCACAGTAAGTGTGTGCACAGAGACCTGACCGAAAGCTGAGGGTATTTTGTGACTTCCGAGTCGTAATATTGTCCCTTCAGCAACTTGATGCAAGTGTGCAAACAATGTAGAGCTGAATCTAAGCTTGTCTAACATAGTTATATTCTTTTTATTAGAAAAGGCTGTTTTCTGGCCAATATCTGCAGCTCACCTTTAATCTCAGAGTTGTGGTTTTGATTTGTGTTGGGAGCTTGAACCCCTGCCAAAACCCCAGGCTGTATCCTCTTCAAGAGGATGTTGTCCCAGACTGAACCTTTTGGGTGGGTTGAGCCGAATACTGATAGCTTTGGAATTATGAGGTCTTGACAGTCCTGGCTGTTGAATTGATTTGTTTTTGACAGTGGTGGTCGGGAACAGGTCCCTTTTTTGGTTTTGACATGGTTTTAATCTTTTCGCAATTCTTGTGTAGCTCTGAGTGTGAGGGTGGAGGTCTCGTCTGGAGGAGTTAGTGCCCTTGTAACGGCTTGTGGTGGAGTGGGAAAATGTGTATCTTAACTAAACATTGCTCACCCTAGATGTAGGGATAACTTTCATCATAGGTTGTGCTTCTGTACACAGGACAGCTTAGATTACTATCATCATGCCAAATAAAATGTATTGCAAAATCTAGACATCTTAGAAAGTAAGAAATCCATCAGGGGTGTGACTTGATTTACTGAATTCATTCTTACCCAAGCTCAATAGGGTTGTGGGGGGAGTTGTGGCCTAGCACAGGGGGAGCAAATTTCAGGTTGTAATGTGCATAAGCAGCTGAAAACACTGACATCTTTACAGTATTTTGGAAAGAATCATAATATGCCTGAGATTTCCCTGGATGTGAGTGAAATATTTGTCAAATGCTGAATTTCTCCTGGTAAAAACATGCTACAGCATTCCTACTGCTCTGCTGGGCAAAGTTCTAATGCACCTGCAGTCCCTAAAACTAAATTGGGTGGGTTTTCCTATCTTTCTATAATTGAAGTAGTGTTGTGAGTCTTAGAGTTTCCTGGCTGTCAGGCATTGCAGAGCTGGTACCAGGTGCTTGCTTGTCCTCTGGCTCATGTGGAGATGAATGTAATTGACTTTTTCATTGTGTTTCTTCTTCTCCCTCTACCTTTCTTTCTACCTGACTATCACTTAGGTCAACTGGAATACTTCTTAAGTCACGTGCAGCAGGATTCTGTGAGGAAACCACTTCTGTTTGTTCTAGTGGACAAACAGCTTGGATACTGCCATGGCCCTCATCTTCAAAGTGACACAGTTTGTCTTTCGGACCCTAGCACTGGGTCACCCGGTAGGTTTTCCCATCATTTCTCTTGTGAGCCATTGAAAGCAGTTGTTAATGTCTTTAGACACTTACTGTTATAATTATTTTTCTCCCTACCAAGCATCATCTGAACATCTGACAGGCTCCCTTTGTTGGAAACAATGGTTTTGGATGATCTGCCTAACTTAAAGGATACATATGCCTCCTTGTACTCCTCAGCTATGGAAGACTTAGAGGTGGATTTTGATTCAGGACTGGAGGAAGATGAACTAAAACAGGAGGCTGCTCCTGAGGATTCCACGATCTTTGTAGCTTTTAAAGGAAATATAGGTGACAGAGACTTTGAGCAGAAACTAGATACCATACTGGAGAATGTGCCTGGCCTTTTACACATGGGTAATGTACCTTCTTGTTCCTCAACTGTTCTCAAAATGTTTATTTATGTAGTCAGGGTGCTTGCACAAAGAAACGGATTGTATTATTTTCGAGTTTAGTTTGTAATAAGATTTGTTGGGGTTATTATTGTGCATTTGGGAGCTGTTCTTCTCAGAGACACAGTTTCTGCAGCTGTTTTGTTGTTTAAAACTGATTTCATTAGTGAGTTCATTTATTCCTGTTCCATTCCCATGCTTAATTTGTTGTGGTATTTTTCTACTTTATTTCCCTTCATTACACATGTTGTGTTATATTCAAGTGAAACCAGGCTTGTCCACACAGAAGATGTTTTTTACTACCCAAACCATGCAGTTTAAACCACTGCATTTCATCTGAGAAGAGGTCCCCTCTCAAGTAACTGTGTCAGTTCAAGACATTACTGCCCCTTTGCTGCTACACTGACATACCTACCTGACTTCTGTTTTCTGATGGAGGATGTGGAGTGCTGTCACATACCCCTATGTGCCCACCAAGCCCTGGGGTGATGTAGCTAGTGAATGATAACAGGCTTTCGGGACAATAACATCTTCTACCAGCACATCTAGACCTGGGTAAAGACATTTGTCCATTGCCTGAGCATCTTTGCAAAGGGTCTTACAATGATTACTTAGGTGTGTGGTGCTACTTGCACAAGTACCATCTTCCCTAACAGCTTCCTTTAGTAAGGGTGGAGGTTTTAAAACTATTCCTGTCATGTTTCCAGCCAAAAATGTGTTTCTGGATTGAAAGAGGATTAAATTTAATAATATCATTCCTGTAGCAGCAGAAGGGACTTGGTGAATTAGTTAAGAACAAGAGATTCCGAAACAGGAGAGAGTTATTTGCATTCTTAAATGACATGTGCTTCAGAATGAAAAGATGTGATGTTGCAGTGGGAGAACTGGCTGATGAGACTTTGGGCCAATGCTTACTGTTTTCAAAAGGACTTCCTTTTCAGCAAGCTAGAAACTGGAAGCTTATAAACCTGTGTTAGGAGTATGTTTTTAATTATCGTTAAATGCATTTTGTAGCAGTGATTTAGTTAGCTGCCACTTCAGAGAAGTGTATCCAATGTGAGTGCCCTGCCTCTTTGCTAATTCTCACCTGGTACTTTTAAAACAACTGATTCTACATCCAAACACTCAGACGTAGAATAGGTGCTCAGAAAAACCTGCAAGTAAATATTTCACACCACTTTAATATGTTTCTTTTCAGTGGATTAAACATATTTATTCAGAAAAACTAAATAATGTGGTAGAAATTAGTGAAATCCTGGTTTCACAAGCATTTTTAGAGCAAATATTTCTAGAATGAGGATTTCATTCTTGTAGTCTGTTCTGTCACACATCCATCTACATCACTAACAGATCAACCAAATCAGTTTCATTAGGTATTTTCATAGCTTTCCAAAGTAGTTTACCCACAGAATATTTCAGTCTTTGAGTAATGTTATCAAGTGGTTGTGTTGGCTGTTGGGTATCAGTTGGGTAGTTTTCATATTGCTAACTTTTGAAGTGGTTTGGCAGCATCAGTCACTGTCTGCCTGTGCTGCAGAAATCTCCTGTACCTGACACTAACCACTGATCACCTTCAGAGCCAAATAATTGTTTCCATGCTTTCAGCTGTGCTTTTTTACCAAGTTATTTCATCACATGCATTGAAAACTGCCTTTGCACTGACTCTGACCATTCTTCTTTCAAGAATCCAACAAGTTAAAACTGCAGAAGATCGAGCCTTGGAACAGCGTCCGTGTCACCTTCAATATTCCCCGGGAAGCTGCCGAGCGGCTGCGAATTCTGGCTCAGAGTAATAACCAACAGCTTCGTGACCTGGGAATTCTCTCAGTTCAAATTGAAGGTATTTCACAGCTCATCTGCTTGCAGAGCCATTAACTTAGAATTTCAGTATACTCGAGTGATTCTCTCTACTTGGTTAATCCAGCAAAACTTCTAATTCAGTAATTTGGGGAGTGGCTTCAGTGGAAAGGTAGCTCAAGGCTTTTATTCTTGAATAAAATAGGATTAATAATAAAAATGAAAGTTGAACATGCTCTGATCATCAGGAAACCCCCAGGAAAATGGTGTTTGAGTATTAGCTAGCAAAATGTGCTCTGTTTCCCGCACCTCCAGCCCCCAATTGTTTCATACGAAGCTTTCTCAAAGCCAAGTTTCCAGTGGATTTCACAGTTAAAAGATCCATACAGGACAGCTGTCCAAGAGCACACTCGGGATGAAACCAAGGGTGTTTAATACATTTCACGGTGTGTCTTTTTCTTACAATTGAAATCTAGAAGATAAGTGTAATGTGATGCATAACTGTCCTTCTAAAGTGTGCCTTACAGATAAAGTTTGTTCTCTATATTCTGCTTTTCTGTGTATCATTCAGTTCACCCAAGCTGTGCATTATTTTCAGGGGAAGGTGCTATCAATTTAGCTTTAGCTCAGAACAGAAGCCAGGATGTCCGAATCAACGGGCCCCTGGGAGCAAGCAACTCGGTGCGAATGGAAACGGGGTTTCCCATGCAAGGGGGACAAGGTAAAATCCTTTGGTTCTTATTTGTTTAGCTTTATCACTTTGGAATTTGTTACCAAGCTAATAACAACATTTCATTGATTTTAGCAACTATTGTCTGCAGGATTACAATTGCCATTTTAATGAATGTGTGTTCTTCTTTCTGTGCTGTCAAACCATGTCCTACGTTATGTAAACTAAGTAGCTGGCTGCATTTTGTCCCACAGGCATTGGAGTGATTTGGGTGGGGAAGATTGGTTTGGGGGTTGGTTCTTTTTTACATAAAGACTGTTAAAGACTGTTTACATAAAGACTATTTTTACATAAAGACTTACAGATGAGTCTAGTAAGTGAATTCATAGAATCAGAATGGTTAGGGTTGGAAAAGACCTTAAGATCATCTAGTTCTAACCCTCTTATCATGGGCAAGGACACTTTGAAATATGCACAAATTATCCCAGTTCTCTGTTATGAGATTAAATATAAGCCTTTATTCAGTGTACAATAATAAACTATTTTAGATTAAATCCATTATAATTATGGGAAGGAGAGGACACTGTCATTGTTAGTCGCCCTTTATTTTCTGATAAACTTTTGGGCACTGGAATGGGTTGCCCAAGGAAGTTATGAATGCTCCATCCCTGGCAGTGTTCAAGGCCAGGTTGGACAGAACCTTGGGCAACATGGTTTAGTGCGAGGTGTCCCTGCCTACAGCAGGGGCTTGGAATCTTAAGTTCCTTTCCAACCCTATCTATTATATGATTCTATGATCTGCATGTGTGGCTGTTGATGAGAAGGAATGGAAAGAACATTTTGCCTCTGTAGGAGCCTGATTAAACAGCAGTGAAATCATTGTGCTTGACAGGGAATATAAAACATTTAAAGAAAGGTTTACTTTAAAGTGGCTGCTTTTCACTGTGACCATCATGAGCTTTGGGTCCTGCCTGCAGGTCAGCAATATAGATGTAAACAGTATAAATAAAACAACAATATAATCAACAGCTCAACAGTATAAACCATTCTATAAAGTAGCCTGTGGAAGTGAAACATGGTAATTTTTCTCTCTTACACCACCTCAGTTACTTTCTAGTATCAGATTTTACAAAACCCTTAGTATGTGTATAACTTTGATATAATCTTGTCACTTGCTGACTTTAGTGGCAAGTCAGACTCATATAATTCATGAGCCTGTAGTGTTTCCTTCTATAACCTTATAACAGGTTTTTTGCTAAAGGAAAAGCTTCAGCATGACCTTGTTTGTCTTATAACAGGGAATCTAACCTTTCAGACAGAGATTATGTGTCCTCAGGTTATTTTGGACAAACAAGAAATGTTCTATTAACAAATACAATTTTTTCTTGTAAAAATAACCTATAAATCTCTATGTAAAAAATATGATAATTTTTATTTTTATCTTTTAAGGTTTAATAAGAATGAGCAATGCAGCAGCTGTCATGATGTCCCAGGGTGGAAATGTGCCCTCCTCTATGGTGGCAAGTGGTGCTAGTGCTGAGCTGCAGCCAAGAACACCTCGGCCTTCCTCACAGCCAGGTGGTAAAATTTAGCCACAGTCCTGACCTGAAAATGTTCTTGAATTCTTATTTTCATCACACAGGCACGAGTGTGTGCTCATGGGAGTACTTCAGAATTGTCCTGGAGTATTTCCCCTGCCCTTTCTGAGTGTTACTCTTTCTGTGGAACCCTCCCTGTCCCCATTAACCTGATATGTGTCAGTTTGGGTGCCTGTTACTTTCCCAACTTGCTTAGTATCTTGTTCAAATGCTTTGAGAGTGGTATTTTAGCTGTAGAACTGTTGTGACCAAGCTTTATGTTTAAATAAAGGTAAGAGAAGGATTGGGTGAATGAGTTGGGTTTCTCCAGTAGGAAGCAAATGGTTCAGTTTTAGGAAATCCTGCAGGGAGTTGGACTTGATGACCCTTAAGGGGCTTTTCCAACTATTCTGTGATTCTCTGATTCTGAGCATGTAGAAGGTTTACATTAGTCTGTAGTAAGAAGCACTGTGGAGCTATCGTGCTTTATTGTAGAGGCTATAAGCTGATAAGTCCTGACTTCTCAGGATTCCCAAACATGTTGAAAACTTTTGGAGCATTGCTTATTCTGTCTGTTGGAGAAATTGGAACACTGGAGCATGAATGTTTATGCAGAGTAAGCAAATGCAAGCAAACCATTTACTCCTTTGCATTTTGGGGTGGGTTTTGTCTACAGTAGGTTATTTTTTTTTATTTTTCTTTGCTATTTTAATAGATGCAATGGACCCGCTCTTATCTGGGCTAAATATCCAGCAGCAAAATCATCCATCTGGATCTTTAGCTCCCCAGCTCCATTCAATGCAGTCAGTTCCTGTAAACAGGCAGATGAACTCAGCCAACTTTCAGCAGCTACAGCAGCAGACGCAGTTGCAGACACGTCCTCCCCAGCCACATCAGCAGCCACAGCAGGGTATTCGACCTTCATTTACTTCACCAGCACAGGTTCCAGTTCCTCCTGGCTGGAACCAGCTTCCTTCTGGAGCGCTTCAGCCTCCTCCAACCCAGGGAGCATTGGGTACATTGACAGTAAACCAGGGTTGGAAAAAGACCCCGTTGCCTGGACAAATGCAGCAGCAACTTCAAGCAAGACCATCTCTAGCAACAGTACAAACTCCTACCCATCCTCCACCTCCATATCCTTTTGGAAGCCAGCAAGCTTCCCAGGCTCACTCAAACTTTCCCCAAATGAGCAATCCTGGCCAGTTTACTGCTCCTCAAATGAAAAGCCTTCAGGGAGGGCCCTCACGGGTTCCTACGCCACTACAGCAACCCCACCTGACCAACAAGTCTCCTGCTTCCTCTCCCTCCTCCTTCCAGCAGGGATCTCCTGCCTCATCTCCAACAGTTAACCAGTCACAGCAGCAGATGGGACCAAGGCCTCCCCAGAGTAGCACGCTTCCCCAGGGATTTCAGCAGCCTGTCAGTTCTCCTAGTCGTAATCCTATGGTGCAGCAGGGGAATGTACCCCCAAACTTCATGGTGATGCAGCAGCAAAACCAAGCTCCACAAGGTTTACACCCTGGTTTAGGAGGTAAGAAGTACTGAGACCTTTTTTTATTTTAAAAAGAAACATAAAATGGCTAGAACTGATGTTGCTGTTAGTTTTGAAAAGATCCTTCGAAGGACAGAATAAAGGCATAGGTTGAGTATATAGTGGCTATGGGTGACTTGGCATCAGCATCGCTTCATTTCTACTACCTGTCTCTATCTGGCAGTGTCACTGTGATAACCTAAGGGTAGACTCTGGGCCACTGCAGAAAGAAATTGCTGAATGCAGTTGCTCGTTAAGATTACCAGTCATCCCCTTGACAATCCTGTTGCTTTCAAGCAGGTTCAGAGATGGTGTGGGGGTTTTTGGTTTGGTTTGGGGTTCTTCTTTGGGGAGGGCAAGGGGAGGAAGATTTTTGAGAACGAGAATGTATTAAGAACAAATGAACATTTTCTTTCTCTTCAGCTTCCTCTGTCACCATTTATATTTCCTGCTACAGAAGTCAGGCATTATTTTGCATCTTCCTTTCTAAGTTGTGGATCTTTCTTCTTGACCCTGTCTTTATTGTCATCTCTTTCTTCCCATATAAAAGAGGAGAGAGCTATTATTGCCATGATTACTCACTGTTCTAAAATCAAGAGGCTGAGGGATGTTTTAACATCCCCTTTGGCTGTGTTGTCTTTAGTTTTCTCTTTGGACCTCCATACTCACATCTTTTCCTTACCACTCCTAGAATTCTTCTCTAACAGTGAATTTCATTTGTCAGTCCCAATTTTTTGTCCTTGGTGGTTTTTCCCCCTTGAGCCTTTTGCAGTTCTGTGTCAGGCTTGTAGCACTTCTCTCTGCTCACTCTTTTGATCATCTTTCTCTTGAATGGCTGCTCTCAGATACCCCCACATAAGCTCTTGCTTAAGCCTTTGAAATATTTTCTTTCTGTACTTGTAAAATAGGAGCCATATTCTTTGTCCATCTACACACACCTATATGTATATATATTCTATTGTCTTGTATTCTCACAGTGTATGTCTGAAATCTGTCCAAAAGGCTATAAAGGAATACCTGTTTCTTGGTCTGCTCATCTCAACAAGCTGCTTGTTTTCACTGTTTGTACCATGAGTTTCATTTGAATTCAGATGAATTGTCTTAGTTTCAAGGTTCTCCTCTTCCAGCCTGTTCTTAGGATCTGCCTGTGCCCTATACCTGGTATATCTTATCTTGTCTCCATCTGGAAGCAGTTATTTATTATTTACTATTTATTATTTATTATAGTCACAATTCCCTACAGTTTTGCCTCGTCAGCCATATGTCCCCATTAGGAATCATTTCCTCTAGGTAGCATAACCATGAGCTCCAGATAGTATAACCTCTGCATTCTCCTTCCTTTCTAAGTAAACCTACTACAAACAAAACCCTACTTTTTTTGAGTTAAAAATCATACCCCAAATAAACTATCAAAGTACATTACTTAGACTCACTGTAGGACCTTTATTGCTAAAGGCAGTAATCCTGCTGTGAGCTATGTCCTCAGCTGATCTAAAAAGACAGGATTCTGCTGGTTTCAGCAAAGCTGTGTTGCTTCCACTTGCTGAGGCTTTTGCCTGGCTTCTGTGCATGCTCATTCCTTGCTGCAATTTATATGTTAATCAAGATGTAATTATGGCTCTTTCAGGTTGTAAGCCATCTTGCCTTTAAAGATTTGGTGTAAATGAATACATTCAAACACTTTCCATTTCACCTAGTTCATTTAGCAAACCGAAGTTTGTACCAGGTTTGGAACAGGCCAAATTAACACTTCTTTATTCTCAGTTCAAGCATTCCTATGTACAAAAATTTCCTGAAAGTTGAGCAGAACTAAAGCTAGAGCCCAGTGATGTGAAGTGTATGTTGCATATTTGCAGTCAGTTGTTTGACCTGTAAACTTGATTATCTTGAAATATTAATGACAAACCTAAGACCAGATTAATTAACACAAGCAATAAAATTAGGTGTGCAGGAAAGCTGTAACTGTAGAAGGAACCAAAGTCAAATTCTGGCAGTGAATCATGGGTCAGAAAAATAAGGGAGGACAGGGTTGCATTTAGGTCTGTGGCATCATCTATTCAACAGTGAATTAAAAAGAAGTGGCTTCTGTTAAATCCATTTATGCTGCTGCTCACATTGGTAGGTAGAGGGAAGGTTTTGCTCTCTGTCCCAGGGCAGTGGTGACATTCTGATGTGTCAAAGTGAGGGCGTTGTGCCAGGAAAGGACCTGACAGAATTACCTCCTTTTTGAGTAGGAATAGCAGGGCTACTTGAAGGAGCAGCCATTCTGGACCTGCTGCTGTCTCATGAGGTTGCTCAGCCCATTTTGGGTTGAGAAGTTACTGTGAAGGTGCGTACACACAGCAGCAGTGCAAAGGACTGCTAAGGAGTGTGTACCTGATGTATTATAGTGAAAGTTGTTATTGAGAGGAGCACATCACTGTAACAGAATTGCCAGTTACTTGTGTTTGCGTACATGGAGTAAGTTAAGGGCCTGATTAGAGTTGCAATGGAGTAGAGAAGAAAACAGCAAACTACGTTCCTTTAATTTCTAGTTTCTAAAAAGTCAACCATGGAGACTTTCCACCTTCTCTTTGGGTAAGTTTTGTACTTAAATTACAGTTTGAACTGAGTCATAGTAGCTTGTTAGGCAGAATTATTGCACAGATGAGAACTGTGAATGTCTTCAGTGATCTTTATATATTGGCAAAACCCACTTTCTGCCTAAACCTGTAACATGACAGGTTACATGAAGGTATTCTTCCATCATACTCCAATTATAGATTTCCTCTTGTGTTAATTCCTATTTGCCATACTTACTAATAAGAAACCTCTTTGGAATGCCCAAGCGCCTCCCGCCGGGGTTCCCTGCAGGCCAGGCCAACCAGAACTTCCTGCAAGGTCAGGTGCCTTCCACAGCTCCAGCCCCAGCGGTGAACAGTGGCGCGCCACAGCTGCAGACCAGCCAAAATGTGCAGCACACAGGTCTGTCTGGGCTGGGGGGCTCCTCAGTTCTTTCTTTATGTAGAAAGTTGCACCTTTGCTTGTGTAACACAGATACCAAAACATTAAACTCTTGGCATTGATAGGGAGTTAGCTCCTTGGGACTGTTGGGGCATTCTGGATTGCTAAATGAGGAGAAGAAAAGAAGGAGGCTGCTCAAATTTATCGAACAACCCAACTATTATTGGTTAGGACTGTGGTACTGAGATCCAGAATTACCTGTTAAGAAATTGAATGGAAGTAGCACTGGAATTTGAAGTGCTACTTCCATTCAATTGGAAGTGCTGCTTCCATTCAGTGAGGGTAATAAAGATATGACACAAAAGGAACTTGTGCAGAAAAAAGGGAGTGTTATTATCTTAGAAGCAGAACAACAACATAATCTTGTTCTGCTTTGAAAAGATTCTTAGTTCCTTTGGAAGTCTACTTTCAAAGTAGTAGCCCTGTACAAATGAAATCAGTCAGTCCTCTACAAATGATATCTTTAGTTCCCAAAGGTCTCCATTTAACAATTCAGTTATTAGTCTTTTGTCTGGATTATGGATACCCTGATTATGTCATTTCATTAATACTCCATGTGTATATATTTTTTAACCCATTATAAAATAACCTCAAGGTTTAGAGCTTATTTTGGTTAGGAATTATTCTGTTGTGTTAGGTGATATTATGGAAGATTGTCAAACCTTAAGTACAGATAACAACTGATTAACTTTCTATTACATTTTCTGCAGTGGGGCACATGGGAAGTACCAGTCTTAAGTGTTTACTGTGAGAAGTATGATGTTCTGTTTTGACAACTAACATGTATATGTAGCATCAAACATTGCATCAGAAGGCTGAAAATACGTCAGATATTCCAGTTCTTTGGAAAAAGGAGGAAAACAATGTTGGAGTTGTGGTTATAGGACTCCAATCAGTTTCTTACTGGCGATTATTTGTTTTGTTTTAAGGTGGCCAAGGATCTGGACCTCCTCAAAATCAGATGCAAGCACCACATGGCCCACCAAATATGATGCAGACCAATCTAATGGGACTTCATGGAAATATGAACAACCAGCAGGCGGGTGCTAGTGGGGTGCCACAAGTCAACATGGGCAACATACAGGGACAGCCTCAGCAAGGACCACAGTCTCAGCTTATGGGAATGCACCAGCAAATTGTGTCCTCTCAAGGACAGATGGTAAACATTCAGGCTCAGGGATCGATGAACCCTCAAAACCAGATGATACTTTCTCGAACTCAGCTCATGCCGCAAGGCCAAATGATGGTGGCACCACAAAACCAAAATCTTGGTCCTTCTCCCCAAAGGATGACCCCACCCAAACAGATGATTCCCCAGCAGGGACAACAGATGATGTCTACACACAATCAAATGATGGGACCTCAGGGCCAGGTCTTGTTACAGCAAAATTCAATGATGGAACAGATGATGACCACTCAGATGCAAGGAAATAAACAACCTTTTAGTACTCAAAGCCAGTCCAATGTTATGACGGGGCCAGCTCAACTGATGAGAGGACCAACCCCAAACATGCAAGGAAACATGGTGCAGTTCACTGGGCAGATGATGGCACAGCAAGGCCCCGTGAATGGTAATCCTTCTCAGGTTATGGGAATTCAAGGGCAGGTGTTAAGACCCACTGGACCTGGTCCTCATATATCTCAGCAACTTGGGGATACTGCTACTACCACAAATAATGATGTGAACTTGACCCAGATGTTACCTGACGTTCCTGTGCAGCAGCCAAACATGGTGCCTTCTCATATGCAAGCAATGCAAGGAAACAACAATGCTTCAGGGAGTCATTTCTCTGGCCATGGGCTGCCTTTCAATACGGGGTTTAGTGGAACGCCAAATGGGAATCAGATTTCCTGTGGGCAGAATCCTGTTTTTCCTGTCAATAAAGATGTTACTCTCACAAGTCCGCTCTTGGTTAACCTTCTGCAAAGTGATATATCAGCAGGACACTTTGGCGTGAACAACAAACAAAATAATCAGAATGCCAACAAGCCAAAGAAGAAGAAGCCTCCAAGGAAGAAGAAAAACAATCAACAACTAGAGCAAACAACGTAGGTTTATTATTACATTGTTTTTATAAGGGCATAGGGAAGCTCCACAGGCAACTTGTCAATATTTTGTTTCAGCAAATACGGGGTGAGAAAGGACCTGTGTTATTTCATATCCTAGCAATTTCTTTCAAGAGTTAAATGATAACCCACTGGCAAGTCTGCCACTGGAAAGCTCATTCAAGACTTAAAAACCCCATGCAAACATCCCAGCCAACGTCCTCGGTTAGAACAGCACCATTCCTTACTTTTACTGGGTAAAGGAAGTGTAGGATGTGGCAGATGGTGCCATAGCCCCTGGAAGAGGAGACTGCCTTTTGTAAGCAGTCTGACAGCCACGCTCAAAAGGTTGGGAAGTACTTTCAGAAGAATTAGAAGCCTTCATATAACATGTGCAATAGAGATTTTTGGGGGGTTGTTTGCTGAATTGTATGTATACCCTGACATTTTTATGCCTGGAATTGAGCTGGACTTCTCTCTTGAAGCTGCAACTAGAATTCAGAGGGAGGAATCTGCTACTTTCTGGGTATGAGGATAACAAGCCCAGGCAGTGCTGATCTTCCTGGTGTAGGAGAGATGAGGAAGGAAAAAACACCACAACTCTTAAGAGGGAAGAGGCAAAGGGGTAATATTGAGAGATGGTGAATGAATGTACCTGTTTAGTGGAAATACGAGATTGCTGAATCAATTTGTTCCTTTTTGGCCAGCATATTCTCCATTGGCCAGCTGTGCTGTGGCTTTTTCCTGTTGAGAGTCTATCAATACCAGCACAGGGTGGTAGACTGCTGCTGCTGAAATCATTCAGCTGAAATGGTAAAGGCAGATCTGCTATGTCTAATTGCTCTGATGCTGCAGATGAGCCACAGGGGCACTGTTGGGAATTCACCTGATGGAACATCTGGGGATTGTTTCCACTTTGCTTTAGAAAAAACTGTAAAAACTTTGCACAAAAATTAGAACACAGGAATATCCAAATTTCAAAGTTGTATTGTTAAAAACAAATGAGGTAGCAATGGCACAATAAGTTACTGGTGTGGTTGTGGTTCCACTGGTCCCACTCCTTTGAATAATCATTGTAAGCCTTTAAGCTGAAGTTTATGCCACCTTTCCCAGAGACAGATGTCCAGCTCAGTGCAAGGAGTGGATGGCATTTGAGTACTAAGCAACTGTTCAATATTTAATTTTTCCCCAACTTGCATTTTCTGCACAATGTCAAGATTCCTTCCTGAAGATGGAATTAAATTTTCTCATGGACGCTCATTTTAGTTGTGGACTGAAGCAACTCACATCATCTATAGCAAGAGATCTTTTGTGACAATGATTAATTGGCTGAACTAGTGCTAAAATAAAATGCAGGAGCTGTGATGTGCATTTACAGGTGCAGAAATGGTGCATGGGGAAGGCTGTAGGTGACAACATGCCAAGCTTTCTGGCTTTGGTAGTCTGTGGCTACATGGAAGAGAGGTATTTGAGGGCATGAAGGTGTCTTCATTTGCCATTCCAGAAATTTTAAGTGCAAGTAATTTGGCAAGAGTGGGTTCTACCAGTATATTGCACAAAGTAGTGTTGTGTGGTCTAGTTGTAAAGAACAGTAGAAGTGCATCTTCATGCTTTTGATACATTAGATCCTGCAGAGAGTCTCAAATAAATAGCAGGCAGCTATTTTCCTGTCTGATACTCAAAGCTATACAGATGTCTTTCAAACAATAACAATGTTGTGCTTTTCCTGGTATCAAAACCATTCATGTTCCATAGCTGCTATCCAACAGCAGTTTGCATAGTACCAATAGGCACTGGTGGGAATTGCAGCACAGTAAAATATGCAAACCTTGTGTCACTCTTGGTCACCTGCATCTTTCATAGAAAGTTTGGGGTTTAGGGGTGTTTTTGGTGGGGGTTTTTTTGTGCTTGATTTGTTGTTTGGTTTTGTTTTTTCCCAAATCAAAGATGAAAACAAAAAGCCCTTGTATTTCCAGGGAGGAAAGATCTGGTGCTATGTGTAAAAGATCAAAAGCTTCAATTCTCAATAGGTTCCAATAAAATAATAGTAGCCACTACTGTAGTGAGCTGTCTTGCCATGGAAATGACAGAGGATTTGGAGGGATGAGTCGGACTCTCTTGTGGAAAGAAGATCTGTTGTTAAAGTAAAGCCTTGTTAGGATTTTGGTTTCATTTGTCTTACCAATCATCACCCAGCTTCATTCCCTGTGGCCTAGGAATATCAATAAGCAGGTATATAAAGCTCTCCTCTGAGCTTACAAAGTCCCACAAGATTATTTGCTTGTTAAAAAGTTTTCACAATAAAAGAAGCCTAAATTACAACTTTTCTATTGAACTGACGAGTCAAAAGAATTCTTAGCTCTTAAATATGGCTTTTAATCAGATTTCAGTGTAATTAACAAAGGAAATACCACTGTGGAGTTAAATTTTCAGTGAACATTCCTTTGCCATTGCTACCTGCAGAATGCTATGTTGGCACCTGATAGTGATGAGCATTTTGTTTCTTAATGGGCTGTGTACTAGTCACTTTATCCTTGCAGGAGCATTGAGAAGGGAGCTATCCTTACAAATGTTGAGATTATTCTCCAGCAAAAAGAGGGCAACTGCAATGCAAGCTGACTGTAATACCTCCCTGCACCATTGGCTCCCGCCTGCCTTAGCATCATTAGGCAAGCTCAGCATTTTCCTGTCTTGGAATTGCTGATTCTTTTAAATCTGCTTTGGATCACTTTCTTTTGCGTCAGAAGCAAAATGGGATGCTTTCATCTCGGCTTCTTCCCTGCCGTTCTTCCTCTGAAAACTTAGAATTCAGAGCAGCAAACCTCCTGTGGAAATGTTTGATACACACTAAAAATGATCCTGTTTCTTTCTTAGAAATAATTTCTGAGATGTAAGAATAAAGAAACAAAAGTACCATTAGTAATATGGTTTGAAGACTGAGCCATAGCAGAATGTAAATAGGATAAGTGAATATTGAAGGAGTGAATATTGAACGTAAATAGGATAAGTGATACTGAAGGAGTTTATTCAGCTGAGTGTAAAATAGTTTTAAGAGTTTGCTTAATTGAGCAACTCAGCATTGGAATGTGAACCACGGCATTTGGAAAAGTAGGATGTTCAAAAGTGATTGCCTCTGTTTTCTGATCCCAAAGATTGTAGATAATAGGATATAAACTGAGGAAAAGATGCTAAATAGAATGTGTTTGTAGATAAAACATGTTAGTGAATTCTGTTAAATACCTGCACAAACAAGCAGTTGTTCAGTGTTCCCCTGTGCACAGAGCAGGAACATCATGAGTTCTGGCAGAACAGAAAGAACACATTTAGTGAAACCCCTGTGGGCTTTGGGGTCTGCAGCACCCCAGGTGGTGGGTGCTGGGCAGGGGGTGACAGTGCTGTGGGACAGGGAGGGGGTTCTCAACCAGATACAGAGAGCTTTAACCTTAGATCTGGAGATGACAGTCCCCCTGTACACAAGGAAATGGAACTCATTTAGCATCAGATGACAAGTGTCCTTCTATAAATCCAAAAGCTGTTGCAGAGCATTTTACCATGTCAGCAGGGCTGGTTCTGCTCACATCTGAACTGTAACTTCATTTTTGCACACCTTATCTCAGCATCTGCAGTGCTTTTTGCTGTGTTTTTTTGTTTGTTTGGGGTTTGTTGGTTTGTTTTGGGTTTTCTTTTTGTATTCTGGAGTTCTCTCTCCGCTCTGACAAGGGCTTTTGTATCTGAAGGTTGTGCTTGAGGATGCAGCTGGTGGAACAAAGGGTTCACTTATAACAGTCCGTTCTGTACCTGATGTGCAGTTGTTTGGGTTTTTTATGTCCAGAGCAAGGAGAAAGAAGACCAAATACAGAATATTTGTCCCTCTCACAAACTTCATTATTATTTGTATTCAGAATCTGGGTTTTTTTGATGGTTGCTAAACATGCCCAGTGAATTCGGCTACATTCAAACTTCAAGTGATGTTTGAATTTTCCAGCAATTACAACAGCAGCCTTTCCTACAATAACTGCTGCTCTTTGCTAGCAAACAACACTCGGGTCTGTTTGCACAGTTTGTACATGCCTCATCAGACCCATCTGGCAGGAGATGTTTTCTAAGAATTCATTTTGCACCACCATTGTTTTCTAGGTTAAACCTGTTTGTGCAGTGCTGCTCTGCACTGGCTTCTGTCTGATCTTTAACAGTAGTATTTTCAATCTCCCACCATTATAAAGAAATCATAAGTGGCAAAATCACAAACCTTAGATTGTATTCACAGTTGTAGGCGGTTGTTCCAGGTCACGTTGCTGGCACCTACCTCAAAGGCTGCAGCTCCTCTGGGTGATTTTTGGTGCCACCATTTTTGTTCGTTTATGGCTGCTAATAAATGCTTCTGGGGCATGTCTCTGCATTTTACTAGCTTTCATCAAATTCATTGGTGGAGGCATGTAAGCCAACAATAACTGCATCACAAGGATTGGGAGTGTGCTGGATTAGACAAAAGGATTGACTCCAAATGCTTTCCTTGGCAATACTTGCCTGCTCAACAGCACTGCTTGGGCATTCTGTGTTTGACCCATTTCTTACCTTCTGTCTTGGGATTGTTCTCCCCAGTTTTGACCTGTGAAAGTTCAGGGACTTCGAAGTCACATGCTGCTTTGTGAATGTTGGTACCTATTAGGACATGAGGACAGGCCTGGGTCTCTTCATGTCTGCTGTGCAGATGCCAGAGACACTCAGTAAGATAGATCTCTCCATCTTTATTTACTAGAGTCTTACTTTGCTGAAAATGTCTTTGTCCTTGCCATTTCTGCATGATTCTGCCTCTCTTTGTTGGCAAGAGAGCTAACTTTGATGTCTTTAATTCAGTGCTTTTATTATACAGTCCTAGAGAAGGACTTGGGGATACTGATGGACAAAAAGCTGACTATGAGTTACCAGTGTGCACTTGCAGCCCAGAAAGCCAACTGTATCTTGGGGTGCATGCATGACCAGGTTGAGGAAGGGGATTCACTCCCTCTGCTCTGAGACTCCTGCTGCAGTCCTGCATCCAGCTCTGGGGCTCCCAAAATAAGGACGTGGACCTGTTGGAGCGAGTCCAGAGGAGAGAGATGCTCTGAGGGCTGGAGCAGCTCTCCTCTGGAGCCAGGCTAAGAGGGCTGGGCTGGGTCAGCCTGGAGAAGAGAAGGCTCCTGAAGGGGAGACCTTAGAGCAGCTCCAGTGCTTAAAGGGGCTACAAGAAACATGGAGAGGGACTTTTTACAAAGGAATGTACTGAGAGGACAAGGCAAATGGCTTTAACCTGACAGAGGGGAGATTTAGGTTAGATATAAGGAAGTTCTTCCCTGTGAGGGTGCTGAGGCGCTGGCACAGGGTGCCCAGAGAAGCTGTGGCTGCCCCATCCCTGGCAGTGTTCAAGGCCAGGTTGGACACAGGGGCTTGGAGCAACCTGCTCTAGTGGAAGGTGTCCCTGCCCGTGGCAGGGCGTTGGAACTGGATGAGCTTTAAGGTCCCTTCCAGCCCTACCGTTCTGTGATTCCATAATCACTTGCAGAGTCTCAGTATCCCAGAAAGGTTTGTGCTCTGGTGGGTGACATAATGTCCAATACATCAGTGCATTTTTGTTGTGTTTATGGAGGTCTTTGTTATCCTGAGCTTGTCACTTCTGTGTATGACACTGGAAGAAGTGTTGCTACCATTGAAATACATTTCTGTGCTTCTTCCCATGATAGTTACTTACCTATACAGATGCCACAGCAGTATTAGAGGGAATTCAATTTAGTTTGCATATACATATCTATATCATTTGGAATATCCATTGGCATTCTATTAGTTATAAAACTTGTATTCAAGGTAGAAATGTGACTGTCAGCAGACCTGGGCTCTGTGTTCAAGTGTGTCCTTTTACACCAGAGGTAGTGGTGCGTTTCAGTGAGTTACTTGCAGGTCTGTGAAAAGCACTAGGATTTAATTCCTTGAGTTCTGGAAGCAGAAGTCAAACACTGACGTGAGGCTGGATCTTAAATACAGTTGTTATTTTTCTTCCAGTTCTTCAGAACCACGTCCAGCTGGCCTGGAGGAGAGTGATCAGTCATCGATGTCTGGAGATCAAGGAATGAACTTGGATAATTCAGGACCCAAGCTTCCGGATTTTGCAAGTAGGCCACCAGGTAGTGGGTTTTTTCTGTGCATTATCTGAATGTAACAACTATAGGAGAGCTTTTAAGTGATCTTTATGACAGTTCTATTTTGTGTCATCACACATTCAAGCCCAAAGCTTTTTTCTCTCCTAGTAACTAATTGGTACCATTGTTAAAATGTTTTCTTTGAATTAGCTCAAAATGAAGAGGTGGCCACAGTCTCATGTGTCATCCTGTAGGTATCATACTGAATCAGCAGTAGCATAATTGATTAAAAAAAATCTGTATTTCTAGCTGTAGCATAGACTAATGCATTAAAAAGTGTTAACCAATAGCTGATTTTTGAGCCTTAAGAAGTAGAGGTTGCAGTTGGAATTATGCTTTGCACGTAGGGAGAATTAAATCTAAGGTCTGCAAAGGCATTTATATTATAAGCCACATGGGTGGTTGTTAGCATCATTTTTAGCCAAGTAATACATGGCAGATTCTCCTTTGTACACTAGAAAATGTCAGACCTGTAGCAGGTATGCCAGGCCGTGTCCCACAGGGCATATCAAACCCTTAAGGTTGTTTTGAGGAATATTAGTGAAAGTCCAACTCTGCAATTGTAAGTGAAAGCAAGCCCCTGGACAGTTGCAGAGACTTTCCAGGTGGTGTGAATCTGAAGTAATACTAGCTGCTATGATGTACTAAGAGATCTGCAATTGTATGTCATGCAAGTCATTCATACACTAAGTAAAAGGACTTCTAAGAATTCAGGGAAGTCTTTGTGCTTATTTGTAAAGCCTGTTTCATTCATGTGGCTCTTGCATAAGACAAACAGGCTCCCGGCTATACTTTATCTGATCCTGTTTGTTACAGAAATTCTGCTTTCTCTGATCTTTGATTGGTTTTAATGAATGTATCATCTTGTTGTCTCTAGGTTATCCATCTCAGCCAGTGGAACAAAGACCACTTCAGCAGATGCCACCTCAACTCATGCCACATGCGCAGCAGCCACAGCCGCAGCCACAGCCACAGCAGCAGCCACAGCCACCAGCACAGCAAGCCCAGGCACCACCACAAACACCACAGCAGCAGCAGCAGCAGCAGATGATGATGATGCTTATGATGCAGCAGGATCCCAAGTCAGTCAGGCTTCCTGTACCACAAGGAGTTCACCCACCTAGAGGGCCTCTCAATCCAGATGCTCAACGAATGCCAATGCAGCAGAGTGGTAACATGCCAGTAATGGTTAACCTCCAGGGTCCTGGGTCAGTGCCTCCATCTCCTGATAAACAAAGAATTTCCTTGCCAGGCAATCCTCCCCTGGGAAATAATGCAAGAAAAATGGTTTATCAAGATAACATCCAGAATCCTTCCAGCTCACCCCTTGGAGAGGTTTCATCAGTTTCCTCCCTTCCAGAAGGAGGTGGAGCTGAAGGCCCCCCAGCGTCAGCAGCTCAGAATAATTTGACATCTCATTTAGTAGTTTCACAAAACCAATTAATGATGACAGGACCCAAAACTGGACCATCCCCACTTTCAACTGCCCAAGGTGCAAGTCCCCAGCAGCAGTCAAATTCTCTGCCTAGTGCTCTTACACACCATTTTCCAAATGTTGCCACCCCATCACAAACTGCAAGGCCTAAAACCCCAAACAGAGCAAGCCCAAGGCCATACTATCCTCAGACTCCTAATAACCGACCACCTAGCACAGAACCATCAGAAATCAGCTTGTCTCCAGAGAGACTCAATGCTTCTATAGCTGGTCTGTTCCCTCCCCAGATTAATATTCCTTTACCTCCCAGGCCTAATCTCAATAGAGGATTTGATCAGCAGGGTCTTAATCCCACTACTTTGAAGGCGATTGGACAAGCCCCATCAAATCTCACCATTAACAATCAGTCTAGTTTTGCTTCTCCACAGTCACACAAATTGGAAAGTGTGGTCATTAATTCAGGAAAACAAACCAACACTGGAGGAACAAAGAGAGCAAGTCCAAGCAATAGTCGAAGGTCCAGTCCTGGATCCAGTAGGAAAACTACCCCAAGCCCTGGCAGACAGAATTCAAAAGCAGCTAAATTATCATTGACAACTCCACAGAATCCATCTCTCCTGCAGAACATGGAATTACAAAGAAATATGATGGCTGGTCCCTCTCCTTTGCCAACACCTGTGACTTCAAGTTTCCAAAATAACAACATGCTAAGTAATCAGAATCCTACAGTTTCTGTACCTTTCCTGAAGACAATAAAGAGAGCGTTAGTGTGCCTCAAGATAACGAGTGTCAGAGTGCACAAGGTGTCCAAGCTAACAAAGACCAGCCCAGTATTGAACTAAAAGGTATCCCTACTCCAGAAATGAAAATGTTAGTTCCAGAAGAACAGCCAAAAAAAGATGGGCAAGCTTTGGACACCAGTAAGCTTCCAGCCTTGGAGGAAAGTAAACCCATGGTATCTCCAGCTATGAGAGAGGCACCAACGTCTTTAAGTCAACTTCTTGATAATTCTGGAGCTCCTAACGTAACCATTAAGCCTCCTGGGCTGACTGGTCTTGAAATGGCACCTATAGTTACCACTAGTGAGGAGCTAAAGAAGATAGCTGTCATTCCTCCACTGCAGGATTCATCCTCGGGCAAAGAGCCATCTAATTCACTTAGCTTGCCTCAAAATAATGAGTCCTGTTCAACTCCAGGACACCAGGAACTGGGAGAAATAAACTCAAGTGTTGCACAGAGTGTTCCTCCAGTAATGCAGAGGCCTGTCAGCTCCTCTTCTATTTCAGGTCCTTTACCTCCCAACCAGATAACGGTTTTTGTAACTTCAAACCCTATTACATCTTCTGCTAATACATCAGCACCGTTGCCATCTCACCTGCAGCCTGCATTGGTGTCAACTGTTGTCACAATGCCCAATGTAGGGAACAAAGTCATGGTGTCTGAGGGACAGTCAGCAGTTCAGTCTAATGCTCGACCACAGTTTATTACACCCGTTTTTATAAACTCATCATCAATAATTCAGGTTATGAAGGGCTCTCAGTCAAGTACAATTCCAGCAGCCCCCATGACTTCTAACTCTAGTCTCATGCCTCAATCGGTCGCGGTCGTTGGGCCTTTGCATTTACCACAGAATATAAAGTTCTCCTCCACACCCACTCCTCCCAGCACATCATCCAGCAGTCCCGTTTCTAGTATTCCCACCAGCAGGCCACTGGTTCTTAATCCCTTGGCACCTCCTGTTCAGCTGCCTTCTCCCGCTACAACTTCTTCCAGTGCTCCTTCAAATCTCCCCGCTCAGCAAGGCAAAGACTTCAGCCCAGAGGAGACTTCTTCTCAAAGTGGTGGCTCAGGTGACCAGTGCTCTGTTACAGCAACACAGTCAGGACCTGTTGTTTCACCTCTTCTGACGAGTAGTCCGGGATCTGGGAACAGACGCAGCCCTGTTTCATCAAGTAAGGGGAAGGGAAAAGTAGATAAGATTGGCCAACTCTTGTTGACAAAAGCATGCAAGAAAGTCACTGGCTCCCTTGAGAAAGGGGAAGAGCAATATGCTTTGGATGGTGAAGCAGAAGGTCAGGGACTAGAAACATTGGTCCCAAACAGTTCAGGAACAGAGCAATCACCAGCAGAACTAGATAATAAAACTGTGACACCGCCAGCACCCAGTCTTCTAAAACAGAGCACTTCTGGGCCTGGCAGTTCAGGTGCCAGCACCACGGCTGCTGCTCCTGCCTCCACGTCTCCGAGCACATCAACAAGCACTCCTCCTGCCAGCGTACCACCGGTTGTAACCACTCCCGCAGCCCCAGACCTCGCACCCGCAGCACCAAGCACTAATGGCAGTAACCACGGTGGTGTACCGGCTGAGCAAACCGGGGCTGCTGTGGTGGAGGAAAAAGCAGGAGCACATCAGGAACTGCTACAGAATGCAGGTAAGTCCAGTGCTACCCTGTGTAAATGTAGGGCTGCTTCTGTAAACCTCGTAATTGCTTTGCTCCATGAACATCATAAAAACTAGATCCCGTAGCCAAGGCTGACAACTACTTTCTTGTTTCTGAGTGTCATGGTTTAAGCCCAGCCAGTAACTCAGAACCACGCAGCCACTCGCTCGCTCCCCTCTTCTTTCCCCCGCAACCCCGCTCCCGGAGGGATGAGGAGGAGAATCAAAAGAATGTAACTCCCACAGGTTGAGATAAGAGTAGTTCAGTAACTAAGGTATAATACAAACCACTACTGCTACCACTAATAATGATAAGGGAAATAACAAGGGGAGAGAGAGGATACAATTGCTCACCACGCGCCGACCGATACCCAGCCCGACCCGAGCAGCGATCTGGGCCTTCCGGGTAACTCCCCCCAGTTTCTATACTGGGCATGACGTGCTGTGGTATGGAATAGCCCTTTGGCCAGTTTGGGTCAGGTGTCCTGTCTCTGCTTCCTCCCGGCCTCCCCTCCTCCCTGGCAGAGCATGAGACTGAGAAAGTCCTTGGTCAGAGTAAACATTACTGAGCAACAACTAAAACCATCGGTGTTATCAGCGTTGTTCCCAGGCTGAAAGTCAAAACCACAGCACTGCACCAGCTGCTAAGGAGGAGAAAAAATGACTGTTACAGCTGAACCCAGGACAGTAAAATCCACACAAGTCAGCTAAACTGAGAACTTAAGCTTGAACGTGACTTCCCCTGTGGCTGTTAGATGTATGTCATAGCTGTGTGCCAGTAGAAAATGGAAATGTTTCCTTTGAGCTTCACAGGAGGAATTCTGATCTGTTAGGAGAAATATGGAAGTGGATATTCTTCATTTAAACAGGAATGTTTAACATTCCATCTTCATGTTCTTCCTATGTTCATTATCACATATAAGAGTAGACTAGAAAACAGTAACCTGACAAGAATTGGTTTTCCATCTTATATTTTAGCTTGGCAACCTAAAGAATGTTAAGCCACGTCATCTTGTTGCCAAAGGACTTCAAGGGAGCCGCTGGTGCATATTTTGCACCCTCACAATTGAAAGAGTGAGGGCATTGATTCATTAACAAAGAAGCTTTTTTTCCCCAGGACTTCTGTTGAAATGAGCATTAATTTGAGAGAGACTAAGCTCTTTAATTTCTAGGACTTTCTTTAATTTCTCAGTCTGGTGAAAAACTGTTACCATTAAAAACCATAAAAATGATTTATGATATTGAATTTCAGCACTTTTTCTAGTTTGAGAAAACTTGGTATAATTTTGCCAAAGTTTTCTTTTTAACCTGGGGAGGTGTGTGTGGTGGGAGGAGAGCAGAGCATAGGTTAACAATATTGCACCTGCAAATGAAAAAGTTGCAGTATGCTGGAAGATGCAGTGTTCTGTAAAAGCAGCCCAACTGTGCAATAGAAACTGCTTGTGACTCCCTTTGAAAATAATGCTTTTTCCCTCCACTTTTATTCTAGCATCCTCTCAACCTTTAACACAGAAAAAAAGTTCAGTTGCAACATCAGAAAGTACTGTTCAAAGAACAGGTAAATCTTACTTTGGAAAAGCAGAATATAGGTAACTGAAGATGCATTTAGTTTAATGTGTATTTAATGGTCACTAACATAACATGCTTGGTAATTTGGGGGTTGGGTTTTTTGATGTTGGATATTCTCCCTGTTCAAATTTTGGGTAGGAAGAAGAGTAACTCTTTCCTTATGTTGCTTGGTCTGTATTTCTTTTGTTACCAAGATAATCTGTTTTTCCCAGGTAGTGTTATATAGACTTACACTGAAGAGTCCGATGTTTCAACCATACATATTGTAAGGGGTGTTTACCAGGAGGGGACAGATATTACCTGGTTTTTTACCCTTTTTTTATACCTCTATTCCATGTCTACACTCTGTCAAACTTTAGGTACTAAATTGATCCTAAAGGCAAAGCCACAATTCTATGCAGCACTGTCCCAGAGGTTGGAGGGTGTTTAAGGATGAGATGGAGTATGTTATAGGCAGAATGACAAATGAACAGTGAGTTAATACCTTGCACTGTGATGGTGATCCCTAAGGCAGTTTCTCACCAGAGGTGCTGTGTTTAGGTATAGACAATCCCTCTCAACAAAGGGTCTGGTGGATATGGGGAGAATGAAAAGATGGACAGTAAAAAGATGAGGAATCTTTTATGATAAAAAGAAGAGCAGCTGATTGTGGTGAAACTCACAAGGAATCCTGATCAGTACTTATAAAATCACTAAGAGAAAGGGGTAAAGAAGGCAGATCAGACTTCTCTACATCATCTCCTGAGAGATTTTCCAATTCAGCAGAAGTATAATTGGGTTTCAGGAAATCACCTCCTTTTGCATTAGAAGGTCTTGCTGTAAGAGGTGGTTGGGTTAAGGCAAAATTTTACATTCAGAATAGATCCACATTAGTACTTTTAAGGTTTAAAACGAATAAACCCTAGAAGTTTTAGAAGTGATAAACTGTCTAAAATGGGAGCTAAAAAAGGGAGAGGACTGTAGCTCTTGTCAGGAACTTTATGGTTTTCTTCTGCAGGGTTCCTTTAAGCTTTCCTCTGGCTTAGCTGGGGCATGCCATAGGCAGAAAGAGCACTTGGCTGACCTGGTACTCGTTCGATATGTTAGTTTGCTTTATGAGAAACAACAGATGAGAGAAGTTTGTTCTTCAGACCTAAAGCATAATGAGAATAATGTGAGATGGTCATGCCTTGTCAGTGGATTTTAAAATTATCTTTTTCTCTTGTAGAACTTGAAACAAATGCTCCGGTAGTTGCTGGTCAAAGGTAAGGAGATAGTTTGTGTAGATGCAGAATAGATGTAGCTTTCACGGGAGGAAGTCCCTTTCTCTTTGCTTCAGTTGCACACCTTCTGCTACTGCTTTTCATTTTCTTGTCCATACCCTTTCTGTCCTGCTAAGAGATTGGGCTCAACTGTGTTTCAAAACATTGCTGAAATGCAGAATGTAAGGTAACTTTTTTCCCAAGTCTGCCTTCAGGCTTTGGGCTGTGTTTCCTCTTACCCCTTTCAGGCCTGTTTCATGTCCTGGAAGGGTCTTGATGGTTGTACTGTTTGATATTTTCTGAAATCAAATCAAAACTAAACCCCCCCAAAGCTTACAGCTTAGTTCTTGTGCAAGTTTTTGTTTTCTGCACGTTAGCCTTCCTAAAGTTTAGGGGGGTTTCTGCCCTTGTGACTCTTTTCTCCAGATTCCCTCTGTGTTTCCTTGTTGATACTTTGCCAAAATCTGATAGGAAAGTCAGGTAGAAACTTCATCTTGTCCCAGTTAACGCACTTAGGAATTAAAAGATCGAATTTCAAAAGATTGTGTTCTGCCAGAAGAAAATATGGTTTCCAAGATCTGTTTCTGTTAGATTCCAAACTCACCAGGCTCTTAAACTCAGTCTAGGCAGTAATGACAAACCTTTGTAAGGTTTCTGGATAATAGTGCAGGCATGAATGGCTGGGTTTTTGATGCTCCCTCATCAGTGCAGTGATGCCCTAAGCCAGGGCAAGAGATGCAATTCATTCATTTGGTTCATCAGGAAGGAAGGCAGTGTCATCTTTTGTAAGGGAGGGAGCACAATACCCTTCCTCAGATCGGGAGTGACTCCAAATTGAATATTTAACTGTATTTACCTTCACATGGATTGGATCTTCCTACTTGTATCAAAGATGAACTGAAATTTCAGGGCAAGTTTTCTTTAGGGTACAGTTTCTCTGAAAAGCTGATGGTGTGACACTTCCCAGGTGAGCAGAGTCTCCAAACAAAGTGCCCTGGCACGGCTGTTCTCCAAACTCATACACACGTCAAATTACCACGAGTGCATTTCTGATTGTATTTTTCTGGACTAATGCTTTTCTGGGCAAGACCAGAAAAGAAGGGAGTTGTTCAGGCAAACTGTGAGCCTAGTGATGGCTGACAGAGCAGCCAGCTTCAGCCTCCTGGAGTTCAACACCATAAGGTATAAACCTTAGAGGAACTTGCAACCTATAAAGCACTGGAAATATTTTTACTTGGGCCAACTTGATTTCCTCCTATAAAAGAAGTGATATGTTGGTTCCTGGGAGACATCCAAGCTATGGATTAGTCACTAGATCTGTAAAAATTGTCTGTAATAACTGAACTTCAGCTGTTGATGCCTGTTTTCTTACCTCCAAGTATCCTCTGAAGTAAGTGGCTGCTATTTCAGCTGCCCATGTTACTGAGCAGAAGTTTGTGACCTGTTTGGAGGATCCCATAATACTGTCTATGATTTATTTTGTATCTGAGACAATCCATGTGCTTCTATATTCTCCTCTACTGTGTGTTTCCTTGCTTGAGGATGTTTGTCTGTCATTGACAAACTGTTTTATTCCAGGTATCTGATAGTTAAAATTACAAGTGTTTGTAGTAGGTTTTCCTCTCAAAGTAGGACTTCCTCTGAACCAGTGACAGTGTAGTGGAACCTCTGGAATGTGCAGGTCTGCTCTGTGTGTTTTCAATCAGTTCTCTCATTAAGGCAGCCTTTCTTGACATCTTGCAAGTATCACCCAAAGGGCATGAAATGAGTTGTGTTTCTCCTTATCCAGTATCAGCAGAGTGTTTTATTTGATTAATTACTTACCTTTGAATTCACAGGAGATAAGTTTAGTGTAATCTTCAGAAACCACTTAGTCATCAGAAATTGTCTGGCATTAATGCCTTAAGGAGAAAACACCCAAACCTCAGGAGGAATTCACAAGGTTAAGAGTGATAAAATAGAGTTAATTACAAAATGCAGCACTCTATCTGTTGTCTCAGGGACAGGAAACACGGATTTCCACACTACCTAAAATTATTTATTATAGCAGAAAAAGCTGTCCATCATAAAAAGAAAATAAAACATTTTAACTTCAAGCTTTAAAGCTTTCAGAAAGCTTTAAGTAAGCCTTCAGCTTTTTAATATGTGAAGCTCAATGGAGCGAGTCTTGTAGTAAAAGCAAAAGCTGGCATACTCCCTGAAGAGTTCATAATGCCTCCTTATGTTCATCTGCAATTTCAACTCTGTGTTCCCATATCATAGCAGTCTCTAATGTAACTTGTTTGCTTTTCCTAGACTTCAGTAATGGTGGCACCTGTGGAAAACAGAGCAGACAATTTATAATGCATCTAATTTCTTGGTCTTCTAATGTTGAAAATATTCTCTTTGAGGACTTCTCAATTCTGTATCCTCTGATAATTTTTAATAGAAACGGACTATACTCTGGCTTACTCAGGTCATTCTGCATCTGATAAAACTTCTGGTATCTCTAGCATTTCATATCTTCAGTGCTAATAGTCCGGAACTGGTACCTGTGTCGGTCCATCCTCCAGCTTGTCTGAGTTGCATAGAAAAGCATAATTCTTCTTACACTTCATCAGAAATATTTTGTCCCACTTTATTAGTAATGAGACAAAAGAGAATTGTGAAAAGTCTAAAACTCCAAATAGAAGAAATTCAAGAACAGAGGATTCTGCCGCTCCACAGGAAACTGTAGAGAACGGACAGCGCAAGAGGTCCTCCCGACCAGCGTCTGCATCCAGCACTGCAAAAGGTAAAATCCACAGCCGTCATTTCTCTGGAGAGGGCAGGAAGTAATGTACTGCCCCAAGTATAACCCCTTCGATAGCTGGCTCGTAACGATGGTTTGCAGCTTCTAAGTGTGCTTTTAACTCTAGTTTCAAAGATTTAGACACAGGTTGGTGTTGAAGTATTGACTGACATCTGTGCTGGCAGTGAATCTTGTGTGAGTTTCCTGTTGTTAAATTTGTGGAGCTTGTTTCCTGCAGTGCTCAACAACATAGCGTTCAGCAAGCTTGCCTAGTTGAAGTTGAATTCTCTTGGCAGAAACATGTTGCCATTGAAAGGACTGTCCTCAAGTTAAAAAGTCACTTTTTTTTTGTTTTCCTGAAGCCTGAAAGCCACAAGACAGATACTAAAGTCTTCCCAAGCGCACGGTCAGCTCTTGTGAAGCCAACTGCTGTGGTTCAGGCACGTTCAGAACGCTGCCTGGATGGCAGCCTGGAGCACCAAGGAGTGCTGTGAGCTAGCACAGAGCCTCAGCTGTTCTTTCCAAGAACACATGAAATCCTAAAGTTACAGATACTAACCCGTGGCATTAGCAGTTGCTGACGTGCCTTATTGCTACCCAGGTTTCAATCTCAAACAAAGTATGCAGCATTTGTGCGAAACACGTGGTCATTGCCAGAATGCACAGTCCATGGTGCCATTCTGTGTTTCTGAAGCTAAACTCTGTCAGCTCCTTATATTTAAGGGTCAGAAAAATTCTGATGGACAAAAGTTGTGCAGAAGGGTAGAGAGAACCCGTCAAGAGGCAACATTCAACCAATATATTAAAGATAACATACAGAACAAAGAGGTATTGATATAAAATTCTTATAAAAGGAAGTCAAGTTGAATTCAGCAACCATTTTCCACACTGAAGATACTAAAATTGGATGGTAAGAATATTTGCATTTTAAGAGTTTCAGAGAAGACTTCCAGCTGTACATAATTGTGTGATGAATCTCAAAGATGACATGGAGGGACCTGTGTGTTCTGCACTTCTGTGGCTGCTGAATTTAATTAAATCTACTCCTGTGGCAGGATTGTGCAGAGGAATCTGAGTCTGTATTGTAAAAATCAATTCTCTTTCATGATTGTGAAGATAAACTTGAAAAATGTGAAGCCAATGTAAAATCTTTAGATTTGGTGATACTGTCCTGAGTGTGAAGGGACCTGAAATGTATGGGCCTGCCCCCATACTGTAACGAGTAAACCTAAAGATGACAACCAGTGGCATGTCAAATGCTGAGAATGTGGGAACGTGAAAGTACATCACATTGAAATAATGCCAGAACTCAGAGGTTTTGTACTGACTGTGTGATTTGTTTACCTCTGTAAGTAAAATCATTGCTTTTAAAACATGCACCTGAAACTGCTGCAGTATCTAAGGGGTTTGCTTGAAAACACTGATCCAGCTTACTAGGTGGTACCTTAGGCTGTGGTTACCTTCTCTCCATGCCTGCTTCCAGGTGGTAGAGAAAATGAGCCAAGCAAGGCTCTCTAGTGGATAAGGACAGGCTGGAGGGTTAGTGAGGGAGCTGGTGTAAGGGGGTTTGCCACTTGTGCCTACTCTGGTCTGTGTTTTTGTTAGTGAATCATAGCTTAAGAAAGCACACTTGTTTTGTATGCTCCTGGCCTCCTTCTAGACATCTGTAGTTACCTTGTCTGTGTCCTGAGAAACTCTAGTCTGTGTTAAAGAGGAATGTGGGGCTGGGGGAAGCTCCCTTTAGATAGGGGTGGATTAAGGCCACTATAGAAGTGGCAATTAGGAAAAAACTGAAATGTAGCAGGGAGAGAGAAGTAGATTTTGACCAGTTGGTGTAGGAATCCCCTTGCTAAGCATCAGGAAGGAGGAGGCAGAGGGGTAACTGTAAGAGAAGGACCTCAGGAGCAGGGCTTGCTACAGCAGCTACTGCTCGAGCTGCTTCCATAGTGCTGCTGCTTGGAGGGAGCTCTGGTAAGTGGGAGTCGTGCCTGTTGAGGTGTTCCACTTCTGAAACCCGGTGCTGTGTTGGTATTGTCACTCCTTGGAGTACTTTTCCAGCAAGGGCTTTTGCAGCATTTACTGTAGTTTTGAGTTTGTTCTATTTTGTAATGTTGCTTTATTTTGGTTTTTAAACACAACATATAACAGCCATGGAGTTGTACTGTTGCTCCTCTAGCTTTAGATGTCTTGGGTGTCTTGGAAATCTTTTCCCTATTGACTCTTAAAATACACACAGCTCTAATAGCTTTTGGAAAATACTGTCAAGAGCCAAAGATACATTGCCAACGTTTAAAATCCCATTTTTGAAAGATCTAAAGATGCAAATACCCTTGGTCCTTACTCTCTTTGTTTTGTTTTGAAATGGAAACGTTAGTGCCTTGGTAAGTGCACTGAACATGTCATCTGCTTTCACTGCAGCTTCCACGAGCACTGCTGCTCACAGTGTTTTGTATCTTTCTGCATAGCTGCTTTTCTGTGAATCATAAGGTACACTCAAGAGACTCGTTTTCTAATGACCTGACTTGCCAAGGACTCAAACAACTACATTTGTAATTCATGTGGCAGGCTCCAAATGACCTTCCTAAGTGTTTTTTATAGCACCATCTCCATGACGCTGGCTCCCACTGCCACAGTTTGTGCCTAGTGCCCGTTTCACAGAGGCTTCCTCCTGTGGTACATCTGAGCACATTGTGCGTGTGGGGAACTAACATTAAACACTTAAACATACAAAACCACACAGATCTTAAGGCTGATCCATTGCGAGTTCAGCATTGCTGAAGCCCTAACAGTTGGAAGTCGTGCCCTGCCAGAGCTGGGGGAGCGCTGAGCTGTGTCACAGCGTTGGTGTTTGTGTTGTGACTTGGTGAAGAGTCAGTCCCGGGTCTGTGGGAATCCCGGTCCTCCGAGGTTTCCACTCTGGTGTGATTGTGGAAGGGCAGTCTGTGCACCTCTGGTGAATGGCTTATCGACTTCGTATCCATGCTTCTTTTCTTCTCTTAATTTCAGAAACGAGTGCCAGTGCAATGCAGTCAAAAAGAAGAAAATCCAAGTAAATTACTGCATGGAAACATGAAACTTGTAAATGAGTGTGAATTTACCAATAGCAATTTTGAGCTGTGATTTTTCTTTTTTAAATAAAATTCTGTACAGTAAAGTCCTTTTAATATTATCCTGTTCCCAAGAAATGATTTTTTTTTTTCTAAAAAACAGATAAATAGATATAAAAACTCGGTTCTTCTAAAACCCCCTGGACTTACAAAGTGAAGCCCAGGGTTAGCACATTAGGTTAATGTGTTTGTATGAAATGGAAGGGGAGGGGAAGACAATTGTAAATTTATTTGTTTCCACTTTTCATAAATTAGAATACAGGGTTGTCATTTTTAGGTATTAAAAATAATGTATTGTGCTGTTGTTTAAGTACTGTATGTGAATAGCAGTAAGAGGGTTTAGAAACAAACCCAATCATGTTTGGAAATGTAAATAATTTTATTATATAGTAGATCTGATGTATTTGTTGTAGAAATGGACCAGTGAAACAAAAACAAAATAAATGTAAGGGTTTGTATAATGTGGAATCCCTCATGCTCTAAATAAATGTTATTGTCCTATAAGTTGGGTTGAATTATTATTAGCAACAACAACCGCATCATTCCAAACAGGAAGATTGAAGGGATTATTTAGAGCTCGAGGCCTGCAAGCTCCTTATATGGAGCTTTAGAGAGGAATTTGTTTAACCACAAACGAATTAACTGATGCAGCTGTTCTTGCAAAGCAAGAAAACACGGCACAGGCCACACTCCTGCCCTTGGGCTCTGCGCAGGGAACACATACAGGGTGAGGAGGCCCAGGAGCCAGCGCTTCCCGGAAGTAAAGC